AATAGTAATAGGGAATAACTTTTGGTCTTTGCTTGAGAAAGCAGAGGGAAACAATAGATAATTAAATAAAACTCTGTGATAGAATCATAAACTTTTAAAAATAAAATACAAAAAAAAACATTGTTTTTATTTTCTTTGTTTATAAAAGCAACAAGTGTAGTTAGTTAGTTCATTGGTAAAAGGCAACAATTGTGGAGCTTTGGTGAGCAAGCAAGGTTAGGTATAACTAGTGATGAAGTATCATCCAATGTTAATTGGAAATACTGGTAGCATTATTATAATAATAAACGTGATAAAATAAAATAAATTTATAGTGGAGATTAAATTAGTCATTCATCAATTGTTTCTTTTACTATTGCAACTAGAATTTAATGTTTATTAATTAATTAATATTGTTAGTAATGATTAATGGATAGTAATTTCCAATTGATTAATAATGAAATTTTTAATCACCTTTGTTAGCATTTAGAGAAAAGAATTACAATCAAGATTATTTAACGAACTATTACTTGTATAACTTTTTAGATTTAGCAATCTCGTCATCTAATATTCTACTTGTGTGATATGCATCTGGATGTGATTTGTGTGCTTGTTGCAAAGCACTGCTACCACCATTACTAATAGTAATACTACTATTATTTTTAATAATTTCATCACTTTTATTATTAGCAAACTTCCGAAGTTCTCTACTAGTTGGTCTTTTTGATGGATCCACATCCCAACACCTCTGCATCATTTGGACATAATCATCAGACATTCCAGGTAATATTGGTGGTCGTAAACCTTCACATATATCAAAAACCAAATGATGATTGTGAGCTCTATCATCAAATGGTGGATGACTTGCAAATATTTCCCACATTAACATCCCAACACTATAGATATCGGTTTCTTTTGTGCTCTTTGTGTTATTGTCTCTAAGTAGCTCGGGTGCAATATATGATATGATTCCATAGACTTTATTTGATGAGTTTTCATTAATTGGTCCACATAATCCTAAATCTGTAATATAGCAACCACCTCCTGCCATAAGTATATTACCACTATGTAAATCACAATGGATTAAATCTTTCCAGTGTATTTGACATAATGCATCACATAAATAATCAAAGATTGTAATTCTATCTTTTAATGTTAAATTTAAATGATTTTTTTGCAAATAATTCCTTAAATTTCCTTCTGATAAATAATTTAAAATAATTGCATAATTTCCATTATCTGGGAATTTAGTTATACCATAACATTTAACAATCACATGTGATTTAATTTTACAATAATTCAATGCCTGAAAATAAATAAAACCAATTAGAATTGTATTATTTATTTTGTTTTAAATGACAATTACCAACCTCATCAAGAAAGCCTTTTCCTGAATTACTTAAATCATTTAAACTTTTTAATACTACTAGTTGCCCTCCTAAATAACTAAACTTCTTTTTATTTTCATCATAATCAACAATAGTTCCTCTTGTCCATTCAGCAGTAAAAATTGAACTAAATTCACCTTCAGTTAACTTTGTTACTTTTTCTAATTGCTCAAAAGGTATCCATTCTAAAATATATCCTGGCAGGGATGATTTCATTTGACATTGTTGAATAAAATCATCAATTATGTTATTTCCAGATGTCCAAGTAGTGAAAAGACTCTGTAATTGTAATCTAATACAACCTTCACAGAACCTATCAGAGTATTTGGCCAATTTACATTTGTTACATTCTTTTAATTTCCCCCTTTTATCTCTTGCATTCTCTAATTCAAACTCATAAATAAATTCTTTTTTGCAATATTCTTTTTCATTTTCAGAAAGTTCCTTGTTTTTTTTGACTAGTGAAAAAAAATAATCTATCCTACTTTTTCTATCAGAATTAGCACTAGCATTACTAAGTATTTCAATATAAATTTTTTGTACAAATTTCTTTCTTTCTTGTGATAACGATGATAATAGTTTAGCATGTGACATTATAAATGGTGCTTGGAAATTTTTTTGGGAATAATAATAATAATAATAACAGTCACTTCTTTAACATACTAATACATAAAAGGTTGCTGTGTTACGTTCTAAATGTAGATTTTTTATATTTTGTGTAATATTTTCTTTTCCCTAACAATTTATCCAAATTTGAATGCACGGGAAACATTCAGTTATAATGATAAAGAAGACTCATTAAAGACTTGAGACGGTAAATTCAGTGCAGTTACGACAACGAATCACAAATCTTCTAAACATTTTATTGCTAAACTGAATTGTTGGGGAACGATGAAATCAAAATCAAAGGGATTTTTTTTTTTTTTTGCTACGTTGGCTTGATAAATTGAAATTTAAACAAAAATATTTTGTTTTCCAAAAATGATAAATGGTTGTGGTTATTTTTACATCGCTGTATCCCATTTATATCTATTTTTGCTCAAAACGTCAGGGTTGAGCGAGGCAGATGCTTGGTTGAAAGGAGGTCGTGTTTCGCTTTAGATTTTTTTGCATGATGTCTACAATTAGGCCTTCGTCTTGCTTTGACGTTTTGGACCGTTTAAAATGACCAAAAACTTATGGCCCTGTCTTGGAGCCTTTATCCCAGATCCCAAATCGTCAAAGATTTGCCACAACGTATTAGTATATTTTTGGGTCACGAGGCCGGATTCAAACACTTTTTTACATTTTATTTTTGTTATTATTATTATTATCGTCAATTCAACAAACAATATGTACAAATTTTAAATTTCGCCACTGGTGAAAATCACTACCCCCATAATAAATTATATAAAATTATACATGTACATTCTTTATATTCTTAAATCATGAATTTCGAAACTGAATCTGTATGTTATTAATAAATGTTTAAAAAGTAAAAACAAAATACAAAAATGAAGCCTTCATCGAGAATTAGATTTTTATTGATTAATTCAATTCGTACAAATATTTGCACACGAATTTGGTGATTTTACTAATCCAAAATCTCTTATTAAAAAAAGTTCAGTAAATACTGTAAGATCAAGCCTGAACAGTAAAGTTGGGTGGGTTGGGTTGACATATACTAGTGATTTCATTTCACTAGTGGGGGTAGCGATTCTCAACAGAGGAGTAGCGATTTGCGCTAATAGTGATGAATAAAATCATCCAAAAATAAAATCCATTGATTAATCTTTTCAAAGGATTTTTCTTTTTTTAATTAACAATCTTAACAATCGAAATTCGTAAATAACTTTTGATGTATGCATGAAGTCTATTCTTCTATAGCAATAGACTTGAAAGAAAAATCCAATTAACCATTAACCTGGAATAATGATAAATAAATAAACATGAGGACAAAAAGATCTTTTTTTAATTAGGAAAAAAAAACTTTGTTGATTTTTTTAACAATTGAAATTTGTAAATAACTTTTGACTCACATGAGGGAGGGTCCTTCTTTGCAAAGGATCTTTTATTAAATTTTGCTCAACGCAACGAATAAAAATATGACTTGCTAATATTGATGCTCCGAACGGATATAGATACCTCGTATTTGAATGTAACGTGTAAAGCCGAATCATATATAAAACACCATTTCAGCACTACGTGCCTCGACTATCGAATTCGAGTACAATGTAAAAAACAAAACCAATGCACCATTTTTGGGTAGCGGGTCTAATTATATATGTTTTTGTTGTAATTTGTTAGACTACTCAATCAATGCACCATCTGGCCATGAAATAGTTTATTTTTATTAAAGATTGCATCATTGATCATGAATACATGATACGCTAAGGTGCTTCGCATCTAATGTTAATTTTAATGCTCCGAACGAATATATATGTATGATTAAGCCGTGTTATTTTATAATATTATGACACCAGAATGTCATCGCATTATAATGCTAATCTACATTTCACGAAACTCTGTTACATTTTCGTTTAAAAACTTTCTTTGCGGAGAATTGAATAACATGTAACAAACGATTTTTTCGTAAAACATTTTTTTGATTGCCTTTAAGTTCTTCTCTAACAGGATTAATTGATAAGGAAAAGCAAAAATTGCATTATTTAAAGAACAACTTCGTAGATTCAACAAAAGAGAATTTCAATATTCTTTGAAGATTTAAAAGTGATAAAAATAGAAAACAAAATTAAAATTTACAAAATAAGCACCAAAACCTGTCTTACTTGCCATGTAAAAGTCGTTCCAAGTACAGTCTACCCTTGTTTCAACGAAGTGGCTGGACATATAAGAAAATTTTATTCAACATTCGTTGAAACAAGGTCACTAATCGCGTTTCAACGAATTTTTATGTTTTCATAATGTGTAACAACGTTTTTAAAAACTCGTTATATCAAAAATTTAATTATACTTCGTTGAAACAAGGTTCGTTGAAACAGGGATTCACTGTATCAATTTTTATCAATATATGTTGCCTCAAACTCAGACACTAAAGACAGCTCAAGCACATCATTGATAATATTATTGCGTATTACTATTACGCGTAGTTAACTTCAAAAGTCAAAATTTTGAAAAAATATCGACTTAACGCAACTCATATGTATGTAAAGACGATTTTATTTTATGAAATGCAATTATAAAAGAATAGTTTTAATTTTTAAAAAGAAGAGGCATTTTTATTTTGAAGAAAATATATGGAAAAAAACAAGTATTATTATTAACTTTTAATACATTATAAACTTCAATTATTAGTTTCATAGCAAGAGTGACTCAATATAAGCAGGATCATAGACTAAAGACACACAATTACATCATCTCCTTACTTGGGTGTAAATTTCCAGTAAATGACTATATACCTTTAATATCTGTTGTTTCTTCATAATTAGACACGTAAAATAATTAAACCTAAAAAAAAAAATTTATTGAATTTGACTTTTTTCAAGTAATTTTTTTATCATTATTTTTGAAAGAAATGAATTTTAAACTTAAAATAAAAACATGGAAATAAAACAAAAAGATAATTAAGATAATCAATCATCTATGCGTGTTTCAGAGACTAAAAGAAAAATGATGATGATGATTTCGTTATTTTTACAAAGCCTTCAAAGAATCTTCACCAATCAAGTCTATTTCAATATCCAGTTCTTCCTATGTTATCATTATTGATAATTAATATTATGATTATGAAATGTTTTGCATAAGGAAAAACTAAGGTTTCTAAATTTATGATTTATTACCATAAAATCTGTTTTCTTTTTTTCTGTAGCTTCTAAAATCACATTAAACATATCATAAAACTACAATAATAAATAAATATTGGTATTATTATATATATATACATATTCATATACATGTACATATCATAACATTTTATTTCCTACCATTCTTTTTCTTTGTCTCCAAAATTTAAGATTTTTTTCATATTCATCTTCAATTTTTTTCTTTTCTTCTTCGGATATTTGTGCTATGCCTGATTGCAATTCTTGTAGTCTTTCACTATAATTTTGATTCTTCAAATAATTGTTGATAAATATTATTAATTAATTGAAATTTTTCTGAAAATTTTGAAATTGCTACTCAAAAAACTTTTTACCTCTTTTTTTACAGTTGAAATTCTTTAACATTAGTTAACAACAGACATCATCAAATCTTAGTTAGCAAGTGTTAGTCGTAAAATTTTCTCACACTACTCCCATAATTATTTTTCTTTACCTTTCGTCAAATTGTTTATTAGATAAAGATTTACATAATCCATTGAACACTTATCAATATCATAAAAAAGATTTATTAGATAGCAATTAATAAATATATTTAATAAATCATCACCATCGTCATCATTACTATTAATTTACCTGATTGTAATTTATGATTCTTTTCTTTGAATTCATTTATTTCCTTTCTAAGATCTTCAATTTCTGCATCCATTTCAAGTAATTCTTCGTTAGAAGGTGATTCAAATTGATTCTATATATATATATATAATATATTATATATCAATATCTATTAATAACATTATTATTACTAAGCAATTAAAGTTTCTTACTTGTTGTATACAATAAATGGTTTGTTTCCCATAGGTTTTAAATCTAATCTCCTCTTTTTTAACAAGTGAATTCAAGGCCTTTTGTGCAACAGTTTTTGTGACAGCTCCACCAAGATTATTTATAATATCAGCTAGTTAATATTATCAATTTTGTTAAACATTATAGAAATTTAATTATTTATGAATAATAAATATAATAAAAGCTTACTGGCACTATAAGGACGATTGTGTTCTCTCAAGTATCCCAATATTATTTGCTCTGCTAAAATTATTGAAATATTACAACAATTTAAATTTAATAAGTTCTCGTAATTTTATATAGTATTTATATTTTTTGAAAATAATAATTCAAGGCAATAATAAAATACCATCGTTGCTTTTAGCAGCTGGTGCTTTCTTTTGCTTTGACATTTTTTTTTTTTTCAAAAATTTAAAAAATTAAACGCGTCACGCAAAAATTTGGAAATTGATTTTTTAATTGGCTAGTTATTTTTATGATGAGCTGAATTATTTTAATCTCTATCGTTTGCCTTTAATTTTTATTCTATCTTTCTAACCACAAAGACTTACTTGAATGTGTTCTTTTCTGTCAACTATATATATAATTGACATTTAGTCTGGAAAAATATTCAACCAATTAAAAATTATATTTCTGGTTAGTGTCTTCTCTTCTTGTACTAACTGTTTACTTCAGGAATTACTAGCATATTAATATGAAAGTATGCATATTAATATTTATTGCATTTACATTTTTTTCTCTCCTCATTTGTTGTAATTTGAAAATATAGTAGTTATTATCACTGCAGGTAGCCTCATGATTGAGTTTGGCATAATCTAATCAAATGAGATAGCAGAGCTGAATTAATTTAACTTTTATTAATAAGTTTATTTTTAAAGACCATCCAATTAGTAATATAATATAATATGGGACCTGAAACAGGAAAAAAAAATAACATTTAGGTACTATGATCTTTACCATGGCAGGTTATATAATCTGTAACTGATATAATTTTGATTGCACTGATTAGTGATGTAGTTCTAGATATGAGGTTCTACTCTGGCTTTGATTTGCAAATTATTTGAGTAAAGTATTTGATCAATATGATAAGCAAGTCATAATAGTGATGTGCTATTTTTTTTCTTTTTTTATTATCATATTCATAAGTCAATTATTTAAGTGAAGGAATAACTCCAAATACAGAACATAACCTCGATCCTTTGATTGATGGTGTGTGTGATCACTAGAATAAGCTCAGAGTTTTTTTTTAACTATTCCTGTTCATCTCTTTGCCTTCAGAGAAGTTGTCTCAAATTCAACTGATGATAATAAATCTAACAAATGAACAAGTCTAAAACCTTTTTAAATGAATCCTCTAATTTTAGAAAAATTAAATACTAAAAATTTTTTTCCTTTATAGATCTGGATTTTGTTTTTGATATATATTAAGAAGCATATGAGGCATGGACAATAGAAAAAAGGAATACTGCAAAAATCACATTTTGAAACCTTTAATGGAAAATATCATTAAGTAAAGTAGACATGGTTCTTAAGCTAAAATTAATCCTTGTGATGAATTACATATATAAATGTTGTTAACTAGAAATCATAATGCTTGCAATTATCACTGTTTCTATTGTCATGCTTTTGTTTTACTATTTTAAAAAAAACTTTAACAGAAAATATCTCAGTAAAGTTGGCATATTTTTCTGAAATTAATTCTTGTGGTGAATTGCATGTAGAAATGGTGTTAACTCAAAATCATGATTTTGGTAGTTATCCCCCCTTTCTATTGACCACTCCCCATATGTTAAAAATTTACCTATTTTGGTGTTAAAAGAAATAGTAATGTTCAATCAATTATTGACCAACTAGTAGTTTACTAAGAAAGTTTAATTAGAAGTTTTTTCCTCTTGTTTTTCAAAGTCTTTCAGCCCAAATTTCTTTTCCAAGTATAATATGAGGTAAATATTTTTTATTTTGAATTTTCATTCAAAAGTCATCTTCATCTAAAATTTAAAGTAGATTCCCATAACGTTCCAGTTTCAAAGTTTGTCATTGAATAAGCAATTTGTCATATTTTTTCTTTAACTTGCTTAGATTTTTTATGATCTTCCTTTATTTGTCCAAGTAAATCATTCTTTGGTAAATTATTTAGCATAAATGGTGATGTTCTCGTTGATTTTTGCAGATATTGTTGTTACTCTTGATTTTGTTCTTTCTGTTGTAGTATTGGTTGTCAATTATTAATGTATTGATTGATTAATATTGTTTAGCAATAGTTTAATTTTTTTCTAGACCAAATTTTTTTTGTTCTAATAATAATTTTTTGCCTCATCCAAAATCTTATCTTTTTTTCCTCCAGTCCAATAAAATTTTTTGCCATTTGGTCCACTTGTAACATCTGATTACTTTATTTAGATCTTGTCTAATGAGTTCAATATACTATTCGAATTTATAGTTTGAATACTCTAGCAAGACATCAATGAAATAAAGCTAATAAATGTAATATATGTATGTATTTGGAATACCTGGAATGAATTTAATTTGGTGTTATTTTCTGTTTAAATAAACATTCCACGAACTATAAAAAAAGAATAAACTAGTAAAAATTAATAAATAAAATAACATTTAATTAAATTGGGGCGAAATTATACAGTATATATATTCTATTCTGTAGATTTTTTAAAATATTACTTTTTTGGTTATTTTTAAAAAAGTTTTAACATTGGTTGTTTACATTTTATTGCTACATCACTTATCAAATTATTTGTTCTATGTTCTCTTATTTGAGAAGGACAATAATAATTATTGCAATTAGTTAAGACACTAAATGGACTTGTTATAAATTTTGTTTTCGACGTCATAGTTATTGATGTTGCTCTAGATGCTGTGAATAGTATATATGAGGTTTAAAGAGTGCATGGCGGTTTAAAATTCTCAATTGCTAAGGCTTCTGAAAAATCGTCACATTTATAAAATCATTAGATGTTTTAATCAGGAGACATTTGCGGAACAGTGCTATGGGGAGAGAGTATGTTTATTTCATATAATTTTTCGGAAGTTGCAATAGATAGAAGTATTACAATAAAGAAAATGTTTTGTTGTACTTTAAATGAGTTTTTTGCGTCATTGGTATTTTACAGCCATTAAAGCTTTCCATATCTCTAAACTATGTGGCCATGCTTATCATAAACGTTCCGGGAAGAAAAATAATAGAAGTGATTATTGTTTGAAATTTTATAAAAAGGGATGTTTCTCGAATGTAAATCCTATATAAATAGATTAGAAAAAGATGATGGTCAATGATTGAAATATTAAACGAAGAAAATGAAGATGACAGTTATAACGAACGGAAGATGATTTTAAAAATACTTTAGTATTGATAAATAATTGGTAAATTTTAAATAAACATGTTATAAAGCAAAAATGCGCGATCTCCTGAGTCTACAATATACTTGCGGTCACTAAAGCTCCTATTACTGTTATTATGTTAATATTAGAGAACATCTCAGATTAAACAAGTTTTTGTGCGCAGTCACGCCATTTTAAATTCAAATCACATGTTTCACAACATAAAAAGATCAACAATCGATTTTGACACATGTGATAAACGAATGTCCACTATGCTTGAATTAGGAACATTGAAAAAATTATTAGATAAGTTTCAAGCACCAATTCGTTATGCGGTTGCTTATGGAAGTGGAATTTTCCCACAAAAAGGATATGATCCAAAAGTATTTATTCATTTATTTTATTTTATCCAAAATAATTAAAAAGTTTTATTCAATTTCTAAAATGCATAATGATCTTACTCTTACAGTCTAAAAAAATGATTGATTTTATTTTTGGTGTTCGTTATCCACAACATTGGCATTCTTTAAATTTGATGCAACATAGAGATCATTATTCATTCATGGGATCTTTAGGTAGTGGGGCAATATCAACATTACAAGAAAATGTTGGGCCAGGAGTTTATTTTAATCCATATGTGAATGTGGATGGTATGGTATGTCGTTGGTTAAGAAATAATATGAATTATTATAGATTAATTTTATTATATTAATTTTTAAACATTCATTATATCAGTTAATTAAATATGGGGTTGTATCAATTGATAAATTATGTAAAGATTTATTGGACTGGGAAACATTATATTTAGCAGGAAGGATGCATAAACCAGTAAGTAAGTTGACTTTAAATTATTTTTAGGGTTTGATGATTTTTTTTATTTGCATAAATATTTATAAATTTTTTTTTTTCATAGATTAAAATACTGAGGGATGATGCTAGGGTACATTTAGCTCAACAAGTAAATTTAATATCTGCATTACGTACAGCATTGCTGCTTTTACCAAAGGATTTTACAGAGGAACAACTTTATTTGACAATAGCTTCATTATCATATAAAGGTTTGATGAATATCTCTAATTTGTAATCATTAATAAATTTCCTGAAAATATTATTTATATATCTGTTTTTTTTTAAAGGTGATTTTCGTCGATATTTTGGAGAAAACCCCAACAAATTAAAAAATATTGTTTTAAACCAAATGCATGATTTTAATTTATTATATAGTGGACTGATTAATGGGCTTCCTAATGTTGAATTTATTAGTGATGGAAAACTTCAGGTGAGAGTATGTGAGGATTGCAAAAGAGGAATTCAATTGATAATGATTTTTGATAAATTAAATAAAAATATGCAGCTTAATCAATATTGACAATATATAATATATACTCATTCAGCAAGACGATAGTCCAAAAGCACAAATTCAATTAATAAAGAAACTACCAAGGCTACTAAGCTACAAAATACAAGAAGAACATCGAATGGTTCTAGCAAAACATGGTCAACAATGGCCATCAGGTAATCAAATACATTTTTATAAATTTAACTCTAAAACAATGTTCATTTTATTAATTAATTTTTATTAATATATATAATATATGGTTTATTTTTTTTTAGATATTAATGATATTTATAAAAGTATTATAAACTCTGGAAATTATGGAGAATATATTGAAACAAGTAAAAAAACTTTATAATTGTTATTCAAAATATTTATATTGATTATTCTAATTTAATTTTATTCTAATTTAATTTTTTTAAAAAGGTTTAAAAGAAATAGTTTTTAGATCTGCAATCACACAGAGTCTTAAAGGAATATTAACAGCAGGTCTTAAGAAAAGTGTTAAATATTCTTTGAATAAGATTGAAAAATGGATTAAAAGATCAAAATAAAATTAATTTTTTTTAATTAAACAACTTGGGATTTAGACTTATTATTGTCAAAAATATTATACTAATAGAAATACAATTTTCTATGGTGCTGATAATCATCACATGACTTTAAAAGTTTATAATTAACTTACCAAAAAAAAAAAAAAAAAAAAAAAGAAAAAGCAACTGATATAATTAAAGGTGCATATCAGTTTTTTTTTCATAAAAAAATGAACACAAGAAATCTTTACAAGAAAACAATTTTTGTTGGGAAGATAAATGTAAATTTTATTGTTATCTTCAAAATTTACCCCATTCACACTCACTCCTAAAAATGATCAAATTTTCTGTCCTTTTATTGACAGCTTTTCTCACAATTTTTGGTTTTATTAAACCAGTGTTGTCAAAGAGAAAAATCATTGATGTTTGAAATGCATTTCTTCATTCATTTTTGATAAAGGATTTCATGTCAAAGGCTATGATAAAAAAATTTGTTCGTTTTCTCAGGCAGCTTACTTGAAGGTTATTTGTTGAGGAACAGCTCAGACAATTACCAGAAATTCAATTAATTGAAAAAGACACACATGTCACAACTTTCGAAATTATAGCAAATTTCATCAAAGAGAACTATAACAATTATTATGATAATGGTGATTATACATTAAGAAATGAAAGTACCATACATATTAAACCAACTTTCAATTTAGATTATATAGATCAAGCACATCTTTCTTTTGATAGAAAATTTTCAGCAGGTTTGGGTTAAATATTTGTGTGGTATGCATACAAACCATAAAAATTTTGGAGGCCATGCTAGATTTGAAGGTACATTCTATGTGAGATTTTGATTAACCATGTCACAGTACACATATTATGGGAATTATTTCCAGCAAAACATTAGGTGTAGCAAGAAAAATATAGACTTATTGCAGCTAAAGTACTTGATTCCTTTGGAGCTGGTTATGCATAGAATTGTGTTGAAGGAACACAAGACCAGTAGAAATAAAAATGCAGTTGTTAATATGTTATTTGGTGGCAAAGTCCCAGAAGCATTAAGTTATGTATTAATATTACTTACTAATGTAGGTATATGTGTTGTACTGGCAGCATGAAATGAGGCTGATCAGCTTGTGATGTATCATCTGCATCATTGGCAAAAAACACAAAAGCTGATTTTTCAACTTTGGTAGTTGCATGGACATTTTTGCACTTGGTGTAGATATAATTTCAGTTTCAAGTGAGTCGGATACTGGCAGAGTAATCTTTTCTAAGCAAGTTCCTCATACTATTGCATTAATAATTGATGAATTTAGTAATTCAAATCTATCAAAATGGCCGAAAGATTAACATACACAAGTACACAAAATTTACCATATGATACCCCAAATAGATTGATGGTGTTAGTAACTTAAATTTTAGAAAAATTTATTATCGCCCTTATTAATTATATAGAAAAATTAATTAATGTGGTATACCATAATTATCAAAGAAATTAAAGACATTGAAAAAATTTTAAAAGTTCATTATTTTATTTTGTGATTAATAATTGTACTCCAACTTTGCTATACCAATAATAGTGAAAAATGTTTGACATGTGAACATTTAAAAACATTTAATATAATATACTTGCTACTTTACAATTTCTTGTCAAAAATCTTTTTTAAATTATTAAAAATTTCAAATATTTTGGTACACACTCATTTTGCTGTTATGCTGTGACTTGAAAACCTTGTTATATATATATTGTTATGAATGATTGTTATATTTATTATTCTCTTAAACAGAAGCCATTCTTGAATAGATCATATTTAGTAAAAATCCACCTAAAAATACAATAAAAAGCATCAATGGCTTTCTTAACAATTCCAAATTATTATACTTATAAGAAACTTGAAAAAATTTGGAATGTTCAGAAACTAAATTGTGTTTTTTTAATGTAATCAAATATCTTCCAATTGTATCCAGATATGTTTTATGAATTGAGTGAATTTCTTCATCTATAGGAAATGGTAATTCTACTTTTACATCCCTATAAAAAAAGAAAAAAATTTTTTTGTTATCATTTTTATTTAAAAAAAAATTTTTTTTATAAAAAGAAATGAATTATTTTTACTTTGCTCCTTCTGGTAAAATGATTCTAATTTGAACTTGATCATATGTTGCATTAGGCAACAAATTCATAAAGGGTATATTGAGGATATATTGATCACTTTCAGAATGATATCTTACAAAATCGCCAAGTGGAACATTATATCCGTGATGCCAAGTATAATTCCAACCACCAAAAAGTGGAAATCTTGGTTTAATTTTCAAAAATACACTATTGCCTTTGTCTTTTTGATAATGATATTCCAAATGTGATGTTGACACATTTCCAATCTCATCTCGATAATAAATATCTTTTGTGTTGATTGGTAAGTCTATCTTTAAATTATTTAATACCATCATTTCATGTGAATTGAAAAAACTTTTTTGATATTTAACTCGAGAAAATTGACCCTTTAATCTTTTTTTTTAATGGAAGAAAATCATAATTGATTAAAATTTTTTTTTTTTTAAAAAAAAAAAAAGAGAAAATATTTACCTTGCTCCATCATTTGTAATATTAAAATGTTCTTCAATTGCCAAGTTTCCACCCCAATGACTCAAATCCAAATCACGTCTTAAATTTTTAATAATAATAATTGGTTTTTGATATTCATAATGAACTTCAAGCTTATCATATTTATTGGATTCTATATTTTTATTATATACTTCATAACTAAGTAAATTTCCAATATGAGTTACAGCCAAATTAGGATTTTTTGTATAATTGAGAACATTGGATGTTGGAAGCCTATTTAAAAAATATAAAATCAGAATAATAATATGAAAGAAATTGAAAATAATTGAAAATACATACCTTATATTTATTTTTAATTTTTCAGTGGAATATGCGGAACTTCCATATAAATTTCCTTGATATAATAAATACTGTTTATCATTCTGATCAATTTTGCATGGATAAGGAATTAAAAGATGTGTATATGCTGTTTCTACTATAAATGAAAATTTTTCCTTTGGTTTAATTTGTTGATCAAAATGAATTTTATAAAACTGAATTTTTTTATAGTTATCATTATCAATATTATTAGCATATAAAAATGGCCTAAAAGAATCTCTTGAGCTTCCACAAGTAATTTCTCCAGTTACATTCGAATATTTCATAACAAAAGTTTGTTTCATATTATAAATAGAATATTCAAATTCTACTATTTTTTCAACTTTAAGTAATTTTTTTGTCTTTTTCTCTTTAGCTTCAATATATGATAAATGTTCATTCCAATTTTCAGGAATTGGGTAATAATATTCTTTTATAGTTTCATTATCATCATCAATATTTTCTACAATATAATTAGTAGATTCTCTAATGATTGGATCGTAAAGGTCTATCATTCTAGTAACTTCAACATTTTTCCAAGATTGAGGAACTTTTATAGCATACAAAATATTAAATTTTAAAAGTAGTAATAATAAAAACCAAAGGAATTTTTTATAAATCCACATTTTTTTTTTATTTTGGGAATTTTTGAAACATGATTTTTAGCCAATCATAGTCAGCATGTAAATGATAATTATTTTCTTGAATTAATTTTACCTCTCAATCTTATAGGTATAGCAGAATTTTTTACAGCAGTTTTTTTTAATCTTTCAGCTAGTTAATAAATAATAAATAATTAATAATAAATTAATAAATTTAAATTTAAAATTTAAAACTAAAAAATTTACATGGTTTTGTTAATTCTTGCATTTCTTCTTGATTCTCTAAATTACTTTTTAAATTTTCTGGATCTTTTGATTTTGTATCTTCTATTGGCTTTAATTGCTCCTAAAATTTATTTAATAAATAAAATAAATTACATCTCTTACATACTTATTTAGTTTTATTTAACTAACTACTTTAACTAACCATTGCTAAACCTTGCCATAATTTATTTGATAATAATTGCTGATTATGAATACTTTGTGATAATATATTTATCCATAAATCCAATAATTTATCTGTGTTATTAATTACTCTGGAAAATTCCTTTAAACAAAGATTATTATTTAAAAATCAAACATCCAAGTTTTCTTAGCATTCTTATTGTCAATATAATTAATTAATTACCTGTAAATTTTGTCTTGCCTGATCCATATTGTTATTAATTGTTGCAACCATTCCATTCACCTTAACCAAATTTTCATATTCGTTATGTAGATTATATGTAAAATTATCATCAATAATATAATCTTGTGTTCTTGTAGGTGTAGTTTCCATATCAATTATATTAATATTGCTAGTAATATCATTGTTGTTATTATTTTCCACATCTTGCTTATTATCTTTATAAGCATTAAATTTTGTAACCTTTGGTTTTTGAATTGTAGTATCACCAACATCAGAGAGCAAAAATGGATTAGTATTATCGTTATTTAAAAAAAAGTTATCACTAAAATCTTCTTTTCTAAGAATTGTCGGTGTTTTATAAATATCATCGTTATCCATCTTTCACGTATGAAAAAAAAACGCGTAATTATTCTAATTTGGTAAATAATACCCCTGTTTTGTTAGTATTGGAAAATGTTACACGCGTTAATATTATGCAAGGTATACCCAATTAAACTAAAGAAACCCATCGCCTATAATCTGTATGATCTATATGTTTATACGTATTAATAATAACAAGCATTTGCAATGTGTATATTTAAATGTTAGATGCTATATATATATTTTTTTTTGCAATTTACACGCTGAAATATTAATACGGTGTAAAATGGAACGGGCGCGTGTAACAATACGACTAAAAATTGGATGAACAACTTGCTGTGATCAAAAACGTCCATAGTAAATATTTTATTTATCGATTACAATTTTTACATAATACCACTAAATGTATAATATTTCAGACTACTTAATCTGGCTGAACTAGGTTTACATGTCTTAGAAGAAGAAACTTCATTGGATCAAAAACGTTCTTAAAAAATCACAAAGATTTTTCATAATTTGCATGGTCAAAAATTTCTAATTATCTAAATCGGATCTAGAGCTCCAGTTGAACTGGATCAACATATATATTAAACAGCAAATATATTATATTATTATTATTTTATTATCCTATATATATATAATATTAAGAATTAATCAATTAATTTTGATTTCTTTTTTCAAAAAACGGATCTATAATTAAACAATATTAATATATTGGTGGTGAACAATAACCTTGTTACGCGACCATCAAGGAAAAAAAAAAGAAAATATTATTTTACCAGAAGTATTATCATCAGATTAATTATATTAAGAATTAATTAATGCTTTATACCCCTTTCAGAAAAAACTGATTTATGATTAAACAATCTATCTAAGAAGAAAAAACAAAAAACATTCTTATAGAAAATTATTTCGCCACCATTACCAACAAAAAGTTTGAACAAATATATTCATTCATCTAACCTTTTAAACATATTAATATGAAATGTGCATGTAGGCCGCTTTGGGCTATAAAATCTTTATGAATAGTTCAATTGGATTAGCAACATGCATCTATATTTGCCTTTTTTATTTATGTCTTTGTAAATAAAGTGTCCCTACCTTTTATTTGAAATTTGTTAACTAAAATTATGGGGTGCGTGAATCCGCCCATATGTAAAAACTATTTACTATTACTATTAATGGATGATAAACATGAATTTTTTAATAATAAGTTGTTTTAAGAATCTACCATTTAAAGTGAGATGCAATACAAATCTATTTGGTAGATCAGTTGGCTCATCAATCAGATTAATTAGGAATTTCTCTTTTCAAACATAATTTAATTTCTTCCTCAAAATTCATTAGAATTGTAAAACCAACACCCGAGTAAGGTTCCAGAATGTTTTTAATTACATTATGAAATGGAGCTGTTACATTTTTAACTATTGGTAGATAATAAATTAAAAGTTGCTGCTTGTATATTATGATAAAGGACTATTGTTATATTTTTTTTTTAATGTTCTAACAAATCCATCAATATTTTGTATTACCACTTTATTAACAAATGTTAATTCTTGCTTACTGTTATTGCTTGTTGATTTGTTGTTCATACAATTGAAATGTAGATGATTCATTTATTGACAAATGATTATTGTTATTGGTGTTATTAAAAAATATTGTAATTTTATCTCTAATTCAGATTGTGAAATTGGAACTATTGAATTATTTGAAAATGTAAAAACCATTATTATTGTTGTTGTTATTATTGTTGTTATAACTATTATTGTTCATCATTACTTCACTTGTAAATCTAAAATTAGTATCACTATAATTCATTAATAAGTTCATAATTATCATACACATTGTTGTGATTATTATTAGTTGATTGATTTTGTCGTGTTGATTCTGGCCAATGAATCTTTCCTGTTCAATAATATTGTAAAATATATCTGAATAAATTTCCATCTCTGTCAAAAAAATATTCATTTCCATTTGTAGGATGAAGAATTTTTTTATTACGTTCTGCAATCATTATTCCCAACAATGTGTCAGATATGCTGTCAATGTTGAACGATATGTTTCATACTAAGTAAAATTTTTTCAAATATTCATTATTTTTTAGAAGTAAATGGATATATATATATATATATATATCAATCAAAATTACCTTTATGCCACCAACATTCAAGATAATTCTGTCTTCATTTAACACAGTTTGGATACCAGAAACAAGATTCTATTTTCACTTTCTGTCTTTATTTCTAGACTATCATTTTCATCTAAATTATCTTTTTTTCCCCCAAAAAAAAAATAATCTTTGAATCGTGTAACTACATTTTTATTTCCACTACTCGTAAAACCCTGATTGGTTCATTTTATCACATGATGGTGTAATATGAGGCTTTGAAAAATTAATCACGCTTGCTACACTTACAATATGACTGAACTGGACCCTCTCGATGCGATCAATGTTCTTCCGTCCAAGGTTTCCATTCGGACCTACTTTACAAATAGTGATTCTTGTTTAAAATGAATGTCTTTGTAATTAAAAGATTTATCGCATGGAATGACTTATTAAGAGAGGTAATTATGGCTATCTTGCTTTCATGATCTTTGGTTTTTTCTTTTTGTAAAATGATTTTACTTATTCCTGATGTGATGGTTCCTTCAAACTCGTCATATATTTTTGAGATCGAATCACCAGTGATTACATTCCATAGATGATTAATTGATTGATTTTTTTATGAGTTGGATAGACATACATAAATATATCATAGTATTTAGTTGAGTTGTGTAAAGTTTATGTTTAAAGATCTTATTGATTTGCACCAGTTCTGATTGCCTGCTCGAGTTTTTGACCAATATATATATATATCATTCAATGCATTCAATTTGTTATTACGTACGTATGAGGTTCATAATTTCCGATGTTACAATGCTTTCTATAACGTTTGTAATTTTAGTTTTATTCTTGATAAGATCTTTAATGACACAACGGCTGAAAATTGAAAGAATAAACGAACAACCGGATAACTTTCATTATAAAAGGATTTTTGATTACTGTATTCTTTTTTCATTTTTTAGTATATAATTGTATTATAAGGTTTACGTTTACATTTCCGGATTTATTTCATGTATTAATTGTCCAAGAGAATGGTGCTTTCCTGCATGAAGACCCTAAGTCTTGTATAGAGAATGCGCAGAAAATGTATTAGTATGGAACCTTACATAATCTTTCTGTAAAAGAGCGCTTTTCTGTATCCTTTTACATAAAAAATGTCCTTAGTTTTCAGGAAAACAGAAATTACGTGTGTTTTCAGAAAAAACGAAATTTCAGGTCATTTATCCCAATCCTCCGAATTTTTGGAGCAATGCGATTGATGATATAATTTGTGATGTAATTTAAGAACTTGAGAGAAGTTTTTTGAATTGTGATTAATTTTGCCATGAAGGTGTGACTTTACTTTCTATAATATGATAGTTGAAACTTTTGGATTTCTATTACATGTTATCGGTTCCATAATAACTTTTAATATTATTCATAATGAATTTTATTATCTTCAAAATGTAATTTGATTTCTCCATGTCTTTTAAAATTCAATTATTTGTCCATTTACCGACGCAATTATGTTTTGTTTTCTTCCTTCATCTATCTTAAGATTTATTTCATCCAAGTTGTTGGGGAATCTACATTTCCAAGAAAATAAATCCACTGAGCAAGGACCCAGAATTAAAAACTCAAAGTCCTCCTATAACGATCTCTCATATTCCTTGACTTAAGCAAAAAAAAACATTAATCTCACTGAATTATACACAAATGGTAAATTGTCTTAATAATTTGAATGTTAACGAATGTCAAATTTGCTGCTCATTAAACAAATTAATTAATATGGAAATGCTTGCAAGAGCCCAGAAATTCCTGTTCTTTATTGCAATAATAAACCAAATAACGTAAACAAAAGTAATAATCTCAGGGTTAATTGATCCAACTAAAAAAGACCAGAAGGAAGTGCTTGTATTTCTTCTAATGTTGTTATGGAAATGTTTATTATCGCCCAAATAGAGAAATTAAGAAAGCCAAAAATATTTACCTGGTCATACTATAACAGGAATAGATAGTGTTTATTGTTATACCGCTAAAAGGCAAAAAGAAGTTTGACGCTAGTACTATTGGGATAATACTACTATGTTATTTTTTTTTTATATAAGAACCGACTTAACATTGTCTTACATATTAGGCTTAGAGTACTATTAGTATCTACTTAAATAATACTAGGAATATTTATCCTTTTTTTTTTTATAAATAATAATGGAAACAGAATTAATACAAAGCAATATTTTTATTTTTATTTAATACAACTTGATACATTATTGTTACTTTTTTATATATTTGTTTGCAACACCTTTTGAACATTTTTTAAACCGAAAATAATCAAACATTAAAACCTGAAGCCTGGACAAAGAATTTTTCTTAGAATATTCGAACCTCTGAAAAAATATTTTCATCTACAGATACGGATATGTTTGTTTACATGGGGTAGAGTCAATCCTTGAGTTTTGTGAATGGTAAGCGCAAATGCATTTTAAAGAGAGGATTGATTTCTTGAGGCTCACTCTATCCATCAATTTCAAAAAAAATCTTTTCTTTTCTGACCACCACTTTATAAAGAAAAGAATTCCATTCGATATGATGATGATAATCGTCAATGATAATACTAATCACGACACTAATAATATGATAATGAAAATTAGATAATAAAAAAATAAAGAAACTTATCTAGCGCGTATAAGTATTAGCATTAAATAATTAAAATACGCATAAATAATTGTAAGGAGAAAATTGTAATGTTTTATTTAATATTTTTTTTTTAGCGCATGAATTTATTCACATTAGAATATTTTGGAAGAAAAAAAACTTATTAAAAAAAAAAACGTGATTTTACAGACTAAAAAAATAGATGAATGAATGTTTCAACGTTCCAAAATAAAGATAGAATGATCTCTATGATATTTTGATAGACATATGTAACTTAGCTCTTTGCAGATCAAATGAGTATAATTAATATCTTTTTGGTAATAATATGAAAAAATTTTTTTTTCAAGATCTAAGATTGGATTAAAATTAAGTTTTTAATAATATTATTATTATTATGTAGCATTAGCCGTGACCATTATTACTGTTATTGCTATTGCTATACTATTGATCTTATTACTACAATTATTAGTAATATTGTATCAAGTACAAGTCAAATGAATGTATTCCGGGAATTTTTCATTTTTGTTTAAATTAAAAAAAAAAGCGAATACATACATATATATTTTTTCCCAGCACGAATAATAACAATTATGCAGATTTCGCCGTGAGAGAAAGAAAAAAGTTAACACGTAAACAATAAATTTATGCGAATATTAATATATACATATATGTGGAGCCAAGTGTAAAAATTTATGAAAAAATCAAAGATTACACAAAAATTATGTTATGTTTTTTTCAAATAATATATTAATATATATAAGTACACACGTACGTACACATGCACATGCACACACATATACAAACGCATCTTTACTGTTGTAATATTTTAATTAAATAGAAATAAAAATAGAAATTAATTAATTAATTAATTAATTAATTAATATTTGTTATGTAAATGAATCAATCAATGAAACTAATTCTAAATTATTTGTTATTATTATTGGCAAAATATTAATAATTGCCGAGTTGGAAATGACGAGTTACTATTTTAATGATGGCTTTTCAAAATGCACATAGATCCTCGATCAATAATACTACATTTTGATAATTTATATGTACTATATATTACCAGAAATATACAAATATAATGGGAAGAACAATAATGCCGGAATTTGTCGAATCAAATTCAAAGAATAAGTTGGTGTTTTATTGATTTGTTGGAATACGCGCGCGCGCAATTGAGCGAGGGTGAGGTCAGAAAAAGAAAGAATAGAAATAAAAAAAAATCGACAACTCTTAATAATATTAGTATTATTCTGTTGACAAAATATTGCTTTTTACGTATAACTCATTCAAAATCGCACATTGATCTAATGATTATTATTTTTATTTAACAGTCTATATTTAATTTAGATCGACAAAAATGATTAACAAAAAAAATCATTTATTTATTATTTATTATTTTTTTAATTTAGATATTTAATTAAATTTGTTATTGTCAGTCAGATTTTAACAAGCAATTTATCTTATCAAGATAATATAGATTTTTTAACATCATATCTTATAAATTGGCGTATTTTCCTTTTCCTTCTTTTTATTTGATGATTCTATTACTTCTCCTCTTGTAGAAAGAAAAGTAATGTTTTACAAGCCTCAACTATTCAAAATTTATTAATAAATAATTCAAGACAAAATTATAGTAACACTACATGGATAAGATCTTAGATTATCATATCAGTAATTCAATTTGTGAAATGATGATTGATTTCTGTGAGTTGTTTATTTATTTTGTGTAACTAACACTAATTTTACTTTTTACTGTGGTCTTCAAATTAAATAAAAAATCTTTGATACTACAAACCATTACACAAAATAAATAATGTTTTCTTTTAGAAATTCCTAAAACGAAAACCAAGGAAAAAAAATAATAAGAATCATTAAACACAATCCAGCTGTTTAGTTTTTCAATCTTTAAAAGAATATCTTTAAATTCTAGGACAAATTATTGTATAGAAAAATAAAGCTATATATCGTCGTATGCACGCACACATTATTACATCATTATGTTTTGAATGAGTTCAAATTTATAAAAAATCGACTAGGGTATAAGAAAATCTTCTTTTTTTTTTTTAGACAGGACAAAAAACTTGTTTAACGTAAATAAAGCTGCACTTAACAAGTAAATAAATAGTACGCGCGTCTTTTAAAGGAAATATGTTTATTTGTTTATTTAGACACAACATATATGTACAATTACACACAACAATTAATTTATAATGAATGAGATCAAACAAGTAAATAATAATTCTTTTGTAATAAATAATTTAATGAGATATTTTCCTTGGAATTTAAAACAAATAGAAGTTTTCTAAAGTGACATTATGTTGGTACACGCACGTGTTGCTCTCAAAAACTTTATATTGGTTATTAATTATTTTATTATTTATTTTATTATTTATTTTATTATTTAAGGACTTGACAATTGATTGTTTTGTGATTATTCAATCAAAACAATATTACCAATAATGTCTTTCTTTGTCTGTGGTGTTTCTCGTATATGCTTTTGTTATATTATCCAATTTAGTGACGACGATTTTATCTTATATAAACCGTTTTGGACATTTTTTAATTTACAATATTTGTACGATTAATCTACATAATCAAATGAGATCAACTAAAAGATGGTTTATATAATAATATAAATCTTCGTGTCATTAGAAGTGGTGGATAAATAAATAAAGAGGGGAATAAGAAGGAAGAAGAGAGAAGGAAGAGAATCATTTTTTTGATCTAATCTATATATAGCACAAATTAAACTTAATCAACTGTGTTATTTGTGATTGCTGAGTAAGTACTGAGTTATCGTAAAAAAATTTCCTATTTCAGGGTTCCTGTTTATTATCAAGATTTTTGTGTGCATGCATGCATGCATACACACATACGTAATATATAATTGCTATAAATAAAAAATTGCCAAAAAGAATTTGAAAATAATATAATTAATAATATAATTAATAATAATATGGTAATTATTATTAATATTATATTTCTCTAAAATGTTATCATGTGTTGTAAATCCATTTAGTTAGATAATTAGTAAATGACATAAATATTTACAAACATATATTATCTTATATATATATGATGATGATTTAGTTTCGCGTTAAATTTAGCACATTCTCTCTCAAAAGTGTTATGAAGATCGTAAAGAAAAAACAAAGGTATATAGGGTATATATATGCACGTCAAAAATCGCCTTACACAAATCTTAATATAACTTAAAAAGGCAATGTAATGTACTAGCCACGAAAAAAATTTTTTCCATTTGAATATTTTTAAGTCCGAATGCCATGATCATATTGCCCCAATATGTAAATTTATAATAAAAAATCCAAATTACCTTATTGACCAACATCGCTTTAACATTCGACATCAATTTCGTCATCTGTGGTTATTACGGCTACATTGTGTAACATAGGCCAAAGGGAATTTATAAATTAATACATGTGTGCGTTTGTGTGCTTTGCGTGTGTGCATACACTGGCTGTATATACATATGTGTGTGCGTGTTCGTGTTTGTGTCCGGGTTAATTATTGATTGTGGATGATGTTAATAGGTCGTAAATAAATAATAATAAATAATAATACACGTAATAATAATAAGGTTGGTAATTGGTGAGAATGTAGTTGGGAAAATTAAAAATTATTAAATTTTAACTAAATTCAACTAAAATCATAGAATGTTAGTAGCGAGAACATTGATTATTGATCAATCGATAAAAGAATTTATTTAATTTATTAATTTTATTTCAATAATTGGGGAAATTTGGTAGATCTAAATATTTTTACACAGTGTATATAGTTACATAATATTACACAATCTTGAAAACCAGTTTATGTCGGTTTTTTTTTATATTAACTGTTAAATCAAAACACCAAAAAAAAATCTTAATTTAGAAAAAAATAAGAATGTGATCAATGTGTAATCAAATTAAGGGAATTTGTGAACATAACAATCATCGTCATCATCATCATCATCATCATCACACTGCGTTAAAAAATTGGTCACATGTACAAATTGAAAAATTTGTTGTTGGGTGAGGAAATTTATCAATTTTGTTATGAATGAACGCGAGTAAAAAATATTCATTTTAAATAAAAACACAAATAAAAATAAAAACAATCATTTAAGTTTTTATTTACAAAAAAAAAAAAAAAAAAAAACAATGAATGAATTGGTGTTGATTGATTGGTTAACCGAATTACAAATTGGAAAGCTAGAATTGATTGTCAATGCATGTTAAATGGGCGAAGAGAGATTGATTTAGTTTCTTATTGATCAGGCTTAGCTATTAATTATGATTATTAATGTGGCGACAATGACAATCAGAAACAATGATTCTTTAATAGAAAAAGAGAGTAAAATAATATTGGTTAATTCATTATTTAATTTACATTACAATAATGGTTAGTATTATCTGTTGAGTAATGTACGCATGTACAATATGTATGTAACTGGTGATGTACAAGTATGTAGGTGAAAGAGTGTGAGAGAAGAGAGAATTGTAATTATTTGTAAAAGAAGAATTAAAAATGCAGAAGAGGCGATTCACATTGTTATATCCACAAATATCCATTATTGGTATATTTTAATACTGATTGATTAATTTGACCCTGGGAAAAATCGGAAAATTAATTTGATTAAAAATGGATATTACATCACAATATATTAATAAATTAAATTTGGTGGTTCTTTGTGATTATTGCTAATTAATTAAAAAAAAAAAAAAAAAAAAAGAAGGAATTCAAAATTTTATTAATCATTTATTTTTTTATTTTTAAGGTTTCTTTAATTATGACTTCATATGTGAATCATGCAAATATTATTTAAGGGGATGAAAATTTTATTATTTATTTATTTTGAATAATCTCCAAATTTCCATTTATATAATAATGTATGAGACTTGTCATCACATTATACACTATACTTATTATTGAATATTCCATCCCAACAACATTCATCAAAAAACACGATAGTTAAAAATAATGAACTGGTTGTGAATTGGCGGCGAGTTAATAGAGGAAGAGCGTACAAACGGAATCAACCGTAAAAAAAAAAATTTTTTTTAACAAATAATAAGCTAAATTTGGCAGTGAAAATCCCCCAAACAAGTTTTCTTGTAAGCTCATGCAGGGATTTTTTATATTACATTATATTAAAATGATCAGTATGTTTGCTGGTATGTAATGCTAAATTTTGAAAATTAAATTAAAAATATTAAAAATGAACTTTTTTTGTGACATAATCAAGATTTTTATATCTAAAAATAAATTTAAAGTTATTTTATTTATTTGAAACTTTCCTCATAAATTTATTCGTATAACACACACAATTTTTTGGCAAAATAACAGATAATAACAATAACAAATACTATTATTATTATTTATTTATTACTACTCTCTACTTACCACACTTTTAAAAACTTTAATTTTAATTTTAATAATTAAACAAAAAATACGGTTTGTTTTTTTTAAAAAAATTTGGAAATGTATGTGAGAGAAAATTCTTTTTTAGGCAAGCTAGTTAATTTTTAACATTTAAATTCTTGGAATGCAGCAAAAAAATTCTCCAAACCAATTAAACAACCCATCAACCCATCAATACATCAATACATCAATATCTATATCTATTCATTCAATTAATTAAAACCACCCAAATAAATTATTTGACTCTTTGATCAATTGATTTTCTGATATTATTTTCACATGTGTATGAATTAACATTTTTCTTTCCTATTTTTTTTTTTTTTTTTTTTTAAGATTCAAAATTCTTTTTTTTTTTTTGCATATAATAAATAATAGTGTGTACCTATCATACGCAGTAGGTAATGGAATACGTGTGTTACCTCGTGTGATTGTTAAAAAAAACCTTTACAATCAAAAAAACAATGATATAATTCAATTTCGTGCTATAATTTTATTTATTTTATATAAACTTTAGACACAATAGACACAATGGATTATTATGTGATGTAATATATATTCATATGAAATGGATTAATGAATGAGGGAGTAAAGTGGGTTCAGACAAATCAATATGTATTAGTGATCTAATATTTTGGTGATTGAATCTGACTATTGCCCCAATTAAAAACGTTTATTCCACTCACCATTATATATATATATATTGAATGAATGGATGGATGAATGGATGGATGAAAAATGATACTATACGATATATTATAAGATACACAAAAATGTATGCGTTGAATTTGTCTGTATGCGCGTGTTATTTATTTTTTATTTCAGGGAAAAGGATGGAGGCGTGAGATAGTTATTTATATAAATACTATTCGCTATTGCTAAAAACTTAATAATTAAAAAAAAAAAAATCAACAAGCAATGCAATTGATGGCGTAATGTTACATATTGTATGTGTATAAACTATACCAAAGTTAGTCAAGTTTTGGTCATGTGAATATAGAATATTTTTTTATTTTTACTAATTTTTCCATTTTAATCATTTTAATATAGAAGTAATTCATTTTCTTTGGCTCTCTTTTATATTATTAATTATTAATTCTTTAATTATAATTAGTTAGGTCATGCTCGTCTTTCAGCTTGCTTTACTATTCTTTTATTGTTTTTGCATTTTTGTTTATTTTCTTTTTGACCGACAACAATAGTAAATACCTGAGTCTAGTACTTTTTTCCTCGATGCTTTTTAATAATAATTACCAATCAATCTATTAATAATTCCAGTGATATATATAATATATATATGATGCAATATAAACTCAACTGTATATATCAGAGATTTAAATTTTTTATAACTTTTTGATTTCGTAAATTTTAATCAAATAAGTTTTTATTAGTTAATTAGAATTCGGTAAAATCCATAAACGCGCACACATTACACACATTTTTAATTAACTTTCAGTTAATTAATATCAATTAACATTTGGTAAAAATACAACATGTTAGCAAAGTAAAAATACTTGGATGACTATTTATTATTATATTATTATATTTATTTACTATTTATATAAATATAAATAAATATAAATAAATAAATAAATATTAAACCCTACAAAACCCCTATGGTTTATTTATTTATTGATCAATATTAATAAAAAACATTAATAATAAATTAATTAATTAAAAAAAAATTTAATATAAATAAAAAATTTTTTTATATTCAAAGAACGTAAATTTTTATTTAATCATCACATAACAACAAAATAGGGGGATTTTACATTGTATAATTCAACATTATTATTAATCACTTCATTATATATTATTTTTATAAAAATTGAAAAAAATACTTTTTTTATTTTTTTTTTTTTGTTCGTTTTTTTATAAAAATATTTATAATTTACATAATTTATATATATATATAATTTTATAACTTCTATAGCATCATCTATCTTTTAGTCGGGGTCTTTATAAAAGATTTTTTATTTGTTTTTTCATGTTTATTTAAAAAATAATTTTTCTTCACTTTTTTTTTCTATAAAACAAAACTTGAAAAAAAGAGTAATAAATAAAAAAAGAAGAAATTGAATAAATGAATTAAAGAATAAACGAACCACAACCAACCAAGTATAAACGAACGAATGAACGACTAAGGGCAGATTTTCTTTAAAAAATTTAAAGCATTAAATATATAATCAATAAAAAATTTAAAAAATTATAATTCTTTCCTATTGGTGATTTTTATCTTTTTAAAAATTTATACTTTTATTTTTTTAAATTAATTAACTTTTTCTCATTTTTACACTCACAATATTCAAATCCACCTTTAACTTTAAATCCTTTCTCCTACTTTCCATCTTTCCCACACACACACACACACGTGCACTCTATCTATTCCTAATAGTTTTCATTGCATATTTATTATATAATTATACTAACTTCATTCCATTACAAATTTAAAAAAACTTTTCTTTGAAATTAAAATATAAAATATATTCTTCAAAAATTAATAATGAATAGCAGAAAAAACAACATGAATAATAATTCATCGTCAAATAACTTCAACAACTCTACCATAAAAAACAGCAACAGTAATAATATTAATATTAATAATAATAATAATAATAATAATAACAACAACAATAATAATAAATGGTCGATTGGAAGAAAATCTATAATAAAAAATCTTCCATCCGTACTCAACAATCAAAAAAAATTATCAAATATTCATGAATTTCTACTAGACGAACCATTTTTTATTCAAAAATCTACCAACAACAACAACAATAATGAAATTGAAGAACCAGAATCTAAAAAAGATCCATTGACAACTTCTATCTGGCGACTTTACACAAAAGCTAAAGATAATTTGCCTCACGGTATCAGAGTTGAAAATATTACTTGGAGAATGATGGCAATTACTTCACTGAAAAAAAATCAAGGAAAAGAAAAAGAAAACAATATCTTTGAAAATCTCTCAGATAATGATAACGACGATAATAAAACTAGAATTAATGTTAATAGGCGTAATAATAATAATGGTTTAAAAGATTCTCCAAAAATTTCAGAAACTATTTTAAAGTAATTATTTTCAAATATTTTTTGTTCTTATTTATTCCTTTACGCTACCAATTAATACTTTTTTTTTTTTTTACAATTCTTATTACATTTACAGAAGTCAGATAATTGGAAATTCTGAAATATATGATAATAACTTTGATATAGATATGGACAACGATAGCAATCAAAATGTTATTCCATTTATCAATAAAACATTTAATTACATCAATGATAATCACAACAATAGTAATAATAACAGTAATAATTATGCACCCGAGGAGTTTATTGATTTTGCTGATAACGAAACAATATTATTCGAACACGCTGGCATAGTCACTTCACCATCTGACACCAGCACAACTAACACTGATGATAATTACACCTCACCTTCTTCACCCGTCTTGACTTCAAAAACTTCCGCTATTCCAATTCCACCGGCTCAAACTTCTTCAACCAACAATAACAACTTTATTCATAATAATACAAACAGAATCAATAATAACACAATGATGGATATCTCTTCAATGGGTTATACTTTTGATATTGACTCTAATGAAAATTTGAATCAGTACCAATCAAATTTTTTAAGTAGAATGGTTGTGAAACAAGATCATTACAATGATCGTCCAATACTTGTGCCTGTGTCTAGATCCAATAATAATAATAATTTCGATTTACAAAATACAATGATTTTTGAAAAGGTTTTTTTTTTTTTTTAAAGTAAAAATGATATTTATAATATTCTAATTAATCTATATTATTTTTTATTTTATTTTGTTAGTCACAAAAACCAAAATCTACAAATTATCGTCAAGCATCAAGGTTACCAAGTATCACAATCCCTAATGATACTCCTCCTGATGACTCAAATGTAGAATCGGAGTCAATGTCATCTTCCATTACAACCACATCAACGACCAATCAATTTACCTTCTCGGATCCTTATACTTCTCATTTTGGTCAACCAATAACAACAATCGATTGCCCATCTAATGCATCGCAACTGTCACTACCACAATCTCAACCCCCGTCAACAACTACATCCTTAATGAACATTTCAGTTCCTCATTATCATTATTCTAATAATAATTTCGTAAGCCCTGGTAGTAGCATCAACGATAATTCGTTATCGTCATTCACCACCAATCACCACCAATCAACTAGTAATACTCCATTAACACCCATAGATAATAATGGGTTTTATTTTGATTACAACAATAGCACAGCAGAATTTTGTAATGGTGATAATAACAATATTAGTAATGATGCTAACAACAATATTTTTGGAATGGTTAATATTTATTATGTAAATTCTGAATCAAATGATAATCAATTAGCAAATACGTCATCATCTCACATCAATAATAACAATTTATTATCTTCATCTTATGATCTAATGTCAACTGATCCCATCATCTTACATCCAAATATAGAAAATTGTAAAATAAAAACGCTAGATTCCGATTATAATCGTTGGAATAATAACAGCGTCAACAATGATGCTAACAATAATTTAATTAACGATCAAATAATACCATCATCTATAACTGGTAGTTGTGATGACAACAATAATAACCCCAAAAGACAATCATCAATAAGTATTGTCAAAAATTCAAATTCTCCTATTACCTCACCAAATTTACCTGACACTATAATATCACCGTCACAATCAACGACGACGACGTCGACGACGTCACCAACAATTACCATCACTACTAAATCTGTAACAATGTCGTCAGGTAAAAGACAAAGATCATCATCACGGTCATCAACACATCCACAATTAAATACAAACTTAATAAAAGCATCAAACTCTACACCTACATCACCGATTTCGCCAATTTCACCAATAACTTCTACAACGCTGACAACATCACCCAAATCGATGCCATTATCGATTGATAACAAAGACGGCAGTAGCAACAACTTATCATCATCAAAAAACTCAATACCTACAACTTGTACAAATTGTCTTACCCAAACCACACCATTATGGCGTCGCAATCCTGAAGGTCAACCATTATGTAATGCTTGCGGTCTTTTCTTAAAATTACATGGTGTGGTCAGGCCTTTGAGTCTAAAAACTGACGTGATAAAAAAACGCAACCGTAATGGCTCGACATCAACAACTAAAACCTCTGGTAATAAAACTGGTAAGAGTACGGTTCAAATGGGTCCTGGTGGCCCAAGTATGGGCGTCATGGGTAAAAGAGTTTCATTATCGATGACTCCAAAGCAACATCATCAACACAATAATCCCATGAACGCTCTTATGAACGGCACCGGTGGCTTTAGTAACAATAGTATGCAACAAACAACTGCTTCCATATTATCAACATCTGCCCCAACTGCCGTAACACAATATCCAAATATTGCATCAACAACAAATGACTCTTTTCAATCAATAACAGCTACTGTCGCATCATCATCAAAACGTCAAAGGAGATCGTCAAACGACGAACAACAAATATTGTATGCTTCTCAAATATACAGACAGTTGGATAACAGCTCGGTTGTTCTAGAATATTGAAATTGATCAATTAATTTTTTGTTTAACTAATAAATATTTTGAAATGTAAAACTTTTCTAATCTTTATTATTAATAATTAATAATCGAAATAATAAATAATTTAATAATTTAAATAGAACAACAAAATCAAAAAAGTAATCAAAGACAAACATTTCATTTGATGTCGCAATTAGTAACTGTTAAATATATATATGTATATATAGTATATAGCATATAGTTGGTAGATTACAGAAGTTGTTTATATGGATTTTTTTTTTTTTTTTTTAGATTTTATAAATACATACATACATACATTTATATGATACGTTATTATTATATAAATAATTATAAATATATAAATATACATAAATTCTCACACTCACCCACATACATAATACAATTAAAAAAAAATTAACGCGTTTTTTTTACTTTTTACTTTTTATCATATTATAAAAAAAATTTTATAATCGAAGTTATTTAATTTTTTTTTAAGTTTATTTATTTTTTTGCGTGGAATTCGTATAATTTTTGGCTTTATTATAATCGAATCTATTTACGTTTTTTTTTCATCATCGATCAATCAATCATCATAATAAATAACATGGATAATATCAATTCTTAAAGAAAAAAAATTTTATATTTATCAGTTTTTTTTTTTTTACAAAAAATTTTTCTTTTTGTTTCTTTTTATAAATATAAATAAATACATTACAGAAAGAAATGATTGATTACATTTAATAAGAAAAGATTTCATGCAAAATTTTCCTTCGTGGTGCTGTAATTACTTTAAATCAAATTTTTAATGACCATCATACAAAATAATATAAAACAGATAATCAGATCTCGCATGTCGGTGATCACCACATGTACAACGAAAAAACCGTTAACGGATGGATAAAAAAATGAATTTCTTTATTTTATTATAGCAGGTAGTTACAACATAAATGTATGTTTACTAATCATTTCTTTCAATAGATACAAAAAGTTATCAGAATAAGAATGAAACTTTAATAGGTGAGGGTATTGATATAAGAAGGAAAGACAAAAAATCAGAGGATTTTAAAAAATACCCTCTTGTGACAAGTTTTAATAAAAAAAAAAATCATTGGACCGTAACAATGAATGCCAATGTAATAATAATTTTGATTCACTGTGGTTTATTTCGTTTTTTAATTAATATATCGTTCGAAATCACGTGATAAAGTGAAAATTACCCAAATTTCTAGGAAAAATATTTTGGAGAAGGTAAATCACATCACTTTTCTCACACGCACAAAAAAAGATTTAATTGAGTGGAATGAAAACAAACTATCAAGAGATGAATGAATGCAATGAATTAAGGTCAGAATCAAACTCTGATGAAAGTGAATGATTGTTTTATGAGATCTCATTGATAACATGCAAAATTAAATCGCCCAAATGTATGCTTACTATATTGTATCGTTGTAAAAAAGAAAGCAAAAGGGGACGGTTCAACAACACTTGATCCCATGTAGGAATAAATAAATAAAAATGATTTAGAATGAGAATATGGACATTGCTAGAAATGGGTAGATCAATATTATACGTATAGATAGTTCTAGAACTATATAGTAATAGTAATAATATCGATGCCTTAAAAAAGCTTAAAATGCTTTTTTATCAGTAAACAATAACAAATTTTCCAAAGCAAAAGGAAAATAAAAATGAATAGTTATTTTGGTCAAAGTAAAAAATTGAATTTTTATTTTAATTTTTGTTGAATTTTATTTTGCAAATAAAAATAAACTCGCTCCCCCCAGAGCATGAAGACGGATGGAAGGGTGAGGAGGCATCCCTCGCTCTAGAATACGGTAACTAACTTCCACGAATCCCCATGGTAGGGGTTTGAACTAACAACCTAGCAAGCGCATATATCACCGCTTACAAAGTTGAGAATTCAGGACGGAAATTGCCAGAAATTTTAATTTGTACTATATAATACAGACAAAAATTTTAAATTTTGGTAGAAATTATGGCCGAAATCATATACTCTGAATATGGCAATTATCAACATTTTATAAGAATAATCATTCGCATAATTATTACAGTTAATGTCAATATAGTGAACAAGCTCACAACTGAGAACGCAATGTGAGCTTTTGCTTTTTGTGTTACAAATCATGCGCACCATGCTACGCAAGAACAAAAATTCATTTATTTTAAGTTGGGTTTGGGATTGCATCTTTGTCGCAAAGAGCAAAAAAATGTCATCACTCAGGCCAAGACAGTAGACTATTTATTAAATCCAAATAGGACGCCGTTCCCACATTTTTTTTTGAAAAATTTGAGTATTCATGGAACAAATCAGGTCTTAATCTTTATAATCATCCTCAAGAAATGATGATTCATTGTTGTTTGCTACTTGTTTAACACTTTGTTATAATTGATGGATCATCATATATTACAGATGTAACCAATCAAGTCAATTAATGAATTTTATCTAAATAAAATAAACAATAAAAATTAACAAAAGAGAAAGGTCATGTCACGAAGGGTCAACACACCCAGCATGAGGCACCACCAAGAGTTTCACTATCTCACTTGCTAGACTTTAATAACACATTTAAGTGAGTCGCATGGTTGTACCCCAAGATGAGTACTAGCAATGGAAAAATGAGTCGTTATATACCAACTTTTTTCAAGCTGTGCATGAGATTTATACAGTTTACAACATTTCATTGGACAAATTCTATTCCATAATTTTTATTGTGTAATCTAAAAAATAAAAAATTCAATTGAAAAAAATAGAGTTGACGATAGGTTGCGAGTTTGTGAAAGTAACTGTTAAATACAAGATGTATGACAATGTACAAAGCTTCAAAAGAAGTTTGTAAGATATACTGATGAACATTTGTCAATGATTCAATAGTTTGTATAGGCGCAATCAAAGTAAGTGTTAAATACAAGATCTTAGAAGTTTGCAAATCAAGTTTTGCAAACAAATGTTTATCAATTATTCAATAATTATATAGGCGGGTTTGATCGAAGTAAGTGTTAAAGTCGAGATCTATGAATCTGTTTGTAGAATATATTTAACGAACATTTTATCAATTATTAAATAATCATATAGGTGGATTTGATTGAAGTAAGTGTTAGACAAGATCTATGAAGCTTGCAAAACAAATGTTTATCAATTATTCAATAATCATATAGGCGGGTTTGATCGAAGTAAGTGTTAAAGTCAAGGTCTATGAACTCACAACTTGAGTTTGCAAAATGAACATTTTATCAATTGTTCAATAATTATATAAGCGGATTTGATCGAAGTGTTAAAATCGAGATCTATAAAGCTTGCAATTCAGCTTTGCAAAATGAATGTATAGACATGATCAAAGCTTTTTAGTAATAAACAAATAATCAATTCAATTGTCAATTAATTAAGAAGTAACCGAATAATAAATTCAATTGTAAATTCATAATACTTTTCTTAAAAGTAAAACAAATCAATGATCCAAAAAAATAGGACATGATAATAATAGTAAAAATGGTTTTTAGCATTTTTAGTAATAAACAAATAATTAATTACTTAAACACATAATACTTTTCTAAATCAATGGTACTCTCCAAAAAAAACAGGACAAATGGTAATTTGTAAATTGTTTTTAATAATAGAATGATGCTTTTCTTATAAAAGTAAAATAAACGGTATGATCTATTAAATATTAAACGAAAAAAGAAAGATGTTTCGCCACCACCAAAAAGTTATTCTTAGTAGCATATATATATATATATATATATAGTACTAGCTAATTCTTCGTGTGTTTCTATTATGTAAATATTTTGGTGGAGGGATTTCGATTTCATCTTTATCAAAATGTACCGCATACCTCTCTGATATTAAGCGGTGCATTCATTTTCATACGATGTACCGACTCCATAAAAGCATGTTTAAGATTTGCAGACAAATTTTGTATTAAATCTGATTCACGGCTAATTACTTGACTGGCCAATGGATTTTGCCATCCTAGCTTATCAAACTTCACATTATCTAAATACTTATAAAATTCTACAGCAAGAGGAGTAGATTTACCCTAAATTATAATTTATAGATGCAAAAATATATTTATCTTTAGATATAAATAATATATTTATCTTTAGATACACGATTCCATTAAAATATTAATATATTTACCCCAAGTTTTCCTTTAATTCTCTCATATTTCTCATGATTTATTTATTACTAATTTCGGAAATTTCTTTTGATGCTTCTATATTGCGAGGGCTACAAACACCTTCAAAGGCGATGTCAAACTGGCGCATAAAAAATATCATATTAGCTTTTTTATCGCTACGTAATAAATAATTTAATAAAAAAACCGAACTCGTATCATCAGATGCATATACAAAGTTGCCATCTCTGCGTGGCCTACACATTGTAAGCAACCTTGTTTTATACATATACAGGTCTTTAAAACTTGCAAGGAAAACCAAAGTACCCCCATGCGTTGGTGAAGTTGAATTCAGTACTTGCAGGCTTCGAGTACCTCGAGATTTTTGGAGTTGAATCCAAAATACCTCGTTTAACAGGAATCCCATGGGCTAAGTTTTATAAGATTAAAAGGCTCTTGCTGTAAAAGCGCCTCTCATCATTTGCTATACACATAATTTTTTTATATATTAACCTGAACAGAAATAGTAAGAATTTTATTTTGCCCTTCCGTATCATCTGAATATACTAACCGCTAATGAAACAGCATTATTTACTGTATTTCTTAAGGTATCTTTCTGAATCCAAGGATCATCTTCCATAGCTTGATAAACAACAGAAAAGGCGGTAATGGCGAGGTTGTAAGAAAGTTAAAATTTTTCCAACTAAGTCGTTAGACATGTTTATATATATATAGTTATATTTAGTTATATTTAGTTTATGTAAATTTAGATTTAATGTATATAAAGCGATAATAATAAAAAACAATAACTTTGTTATACCTATCAAGAATGACATCTGTCAAATACAAAGATGACACCATCTAATTTTGATTTAATTATATAGGGCATCCCACACCCCAAATACTTATGGCAGGTGAGTGTATTTTAAAATCTTTTTTTTATGGTTCCATGTATTCCCCTCCAGGTTTCAATTCAATTCTATAATAATAATAATAATGAAAAAAAATGAATATTTGCGTCATCATTATCAAGATAAAATGCCACAGAGCGAGTCAAATGCAACTTTTCGGTAACGGAGAAAGACGTTCATAACAGACCGTCCACCGTATATCAAGTCTGGTTACTTGACTGGTAACTTTCGTAAATTACGGCCGCGAAGCGCTTCCAGTTCTCCGATTTACACCTAGTGGCAGCGTAACTTCAAATACATAATAACTCTACATACTACTCAGTGGTAAATTTACTCACATTTCCATATCATCTTTAAAATTTTAAAACTTAATTTGTCGAGCTTCGACGTATTCAACCAAATCTAAATAAATGATTGATCAATTCTATAATAAAAAAAGAAAAGTTTCAACTTCAACTAATCGACGTTATGAAAAATTCTTGAATTATTACCTTTTTGATTACAAATATCTTGACTTCTTTGTTATATATATATCCCTGATCATCATTTAAAAAACGTGGATTTAATTCTTTTTTTTATTGTATATATGATAAAATAAATAACAAAAAACAATAATGAATTCAATTATTGAAATTAAATAGCTCTTAAATGTAAAATTAAAGATTTTTGGTTTCAAAACATTTGCCGTACGACACATTTTTTACTAAATATGGTGAAAACGTTGATCGCGCCAAAAATCGAAAAGAGACAATCGGCGAGAAACCTGCTACTACATTTTTAATAATTAATTTCCTAAAGAGCGGAAATTAACTATTAAAAATGTAGTATATTTTAAACTTATAATGACTTGCCAAAGTGCAATTTGCAACATTTTAAACATATTGGTAATGTTAATGGTTATAAGCAATTACGTTTTGAATGTCTATATTGCAAAAGTCCAAAATATCAGTGTGCTAGTGAAAACCATTTACGCCTTTGTTCGAATGCCACAAGAGAAATTATTTTTGAGAACATTTTGATACTTCAAATATTAGTATACAGATAAATGACAACGTAATTGAGAAATTGATGAAAGTGTCATCGAAGAAGCTGATGAAACACGTGAAAAATTTTGAAGAATCAAATAAAAGTGAAAACAGGTTTGATTTTGATATTTAATTATTTATTATAATTAACGATTCAATATAATTAATGATTCAATATAATTAATGATTCAATTAAATATATAAATCAAACCTTTAGTATAAAAAAGTGTAAGTTGAATAAATTAAATGAAGATTTAATTGCTGTTTATTGTAATGGCCAATAAAATTCAGTTTTGAAAATCATCCAATCAAATTTTAACACTCTATACACACATTTGCCCGTATCTAGACATTGCAAGAAATATTGAAAACAAAGAAAAAGATTTACTTGATTATAAATTTTGTCTTGAATCTGTTCAATATATATTATATTTATCTATTGTTAAAAAACCTAAGCGGGACTGTGGTAGATGTTATTGGTAGAAGTTGATGGTTTGCTAAGCTGGGAAAAACCTACCTTGTAAGCAAAATTAGATTCTTTATGATGAAGACATAAAATTATTTCATATTTGAGATCAAATAAAAATTTTACGTATCCTTAGCATTGATAGAAACAGCCATTAAAGAATGGGTGTTGTTTATCAGAATATATACAGTGTCATAATTAGTGATGCAGATATCCGTCACCGAAATGATTGACTGACATTTAGTCAACCGTTTTCCGACAGTATGTTTTCTAAAGTGCAATTAATAAAACTAGCCTCAATTTCAATTTGTATAAAGTGGTCAGGTTAGTCAATGAAATGAGTTGTTGGGAAAACATCCTGTTGGGGACCCTAATAAATAACCTTCAATTTCATTAGCTTTACTATGGTTGGCTCGGTCTAAAGACCTCCTATTGCTGCGCCTCGCGGCCAAATTTCAAAAATAGTGATTTCGTGATTCG